ACTATGTTTTTCACATGTGAAACATAGTAAAAATTTTTGGTCCGCAGCTTCATGGTTCGCGATTAATGCCGTACATAATAATTTTTGATATAAAATTTTCTCCGTGTATTTGTCTTTGAGTACACTAGCATGACCATCTAGCAACGATTGTTTAGCTTCTTATTTATTCCCTCGAATTTATTTCATTTAAATCGGCATGGGAAATATTTCATTGAATGTATTTGTTTATTATCGTATGCATTATCAGAGCAAATAAACAAGCTATTAATTAAAGAAAATTGTTAAATTTTTCCGCCCTCAAATTACACACGTAATCTCGTCGATCTTATCGTCAATTTTATTTATTTGCTAAGAAAATGCATAATTTGATGTTTTTTTTGCATTTATGTTAATTATCGCGGTTAATATATTGCAATTTCGTCACACACACACACACACACACACACACACACACACACAATAAAATTTTTCAAATAAAATATATTTATTTTATTTATAACTTATATCATTATTTTGAGAGACGCGTTTGAAATTTTATCCCGCATCGATAATTTTTTTCCCAACATCTTGCTATTGCTATAAAGTTGCAATTTCCGTCTGAACAACAATCTTCAAAGGCCATGTAAGGTGGCCCTCAAGGCGATTTTACAGTGGTATCTAGCCGAAGAAGTAGCCTCAGGTAATATACTTACTTGTGAGAACGCCAAGAACGCGGCCGGCAGGGTGGCGGGTATGCACAGTAAGTAGTACATGATATTCTGATATCGGCCCTTCTCGCCCACATGTACCAGTACCTCGTCGAAGTCGATCGAGCTCATCTTGCCGGCGATGCCGCGACTCTGCCGTGTTTCAACAGCTCGACGACGACGATCGTGCACGATGCGACGGTGGCGTGGTACACCTTCGAATTACACGGCATGACCGCCGTCGCTCATCCTCGAAGGCAGCCACGCCGAATCACAAACGCACGTTTCTTCGTCCCCTTCACGCTCGACGCCAAAGAAGCTTCCTCCTCTTCGTCTTTTTCACTCCCGCCTCCACCCCCTCCCTCTCCTCTTCTTTGTTCTCCTCCGCCTTCTTGTCCTCCCCGCTGCTTTGCTTCCCCCCAAGGTACCCCCGAATCGGGCTGCTTCGCGAAGCAGTGGATTTTCCACGATTTCACGATTTTACGAGCGCACGTTACAACGCAGTCTCGATCACCTGGTACAACGGACTCAAGGTCGTGCGAGTTACCATCAAGATCATTATTAAGCTTAATGAGTCGCTGTTGATCGAAATCGAGACGCTGATCCGCATCTGACTGGAATGAATTCCACGTTGCATATCATGTTTCATGTCGCACGAATCCTGTCAAGTCGCGATCAACGCCGACAAAGCAGTTCTCGAGAGCTTACTGAAAGCGTTAAGTAAATCGCAACACATTTGTGGATTGGTTTGATTCCGCGCGTTTAACTCGAGACATCGTATCACAAGGAATCAAAGATGAAAAAACTTGCAAATTGAAGTTAGGAAAAAAAGGGAAATTGATGAAGAAGGAAGGTGACAACAATTCACTCGATCGTTGAGTAGTCTGATCGCACACGGTCCTTTTTCACTTACGATGCGACGCTCTCACTTCACTTTCACCTCATCGTCGTTACAAGAAAAGCGAGTTTTGTTCTTCGTCAATCCTCTCCTGGAAACTTTGCGATTCTGTCACGTTTTTACGGGTAGTAAGGGGATTATCTTGAACAATCACTTCGAATGGTCTCAAGCGTCATCGAAATGCACTCACGGTTCAAGTCCTCTAATCACGCAAACTTGTTCCATCGAAAATCCGATACACTCGATCGTGACACTCGATCGCGGCACTCGATCGCGATACTCGATTGTCCACGTTCACTCACCCTTGCGTGACTGTTTACGGAAGTGACGCGCGTCCACTTGATTCTTTTTCTCTCTCTCTCTCCCACTTTTTTTCTCCCAATGCACGTTCTCTTGCACTCACTGCAGTTCGTTGCAACTGAACACTTCTCGGTACCGCTTGCGACTCACTCGCGACAACGCAGTGGCTCCTCGTTTCGCAACTCGAGGGACCGTCCCTTCATTCTCGTTTACGCCCCTCGTCCGCTTACCACGTCACGATCGCGATCACGAGCGCATAGACCCCGGACGGATCAGACTGCTAAGCACGTCGTCGTCCTCGCTACAGAGCGACATATACACCGCGGGCGTCGCGATCACGACGATCAGCCGTCGTCGGGAAAGACCTCGTCTCGTCTGATTCTACTACACATCATCTTCGTCGGAGTCTCGCCACCTCCTCTCTCTCGGCCGTCGATCAAGAGTCGCCGCCGTCGTTTCTCGGTAAAACGCGTCGCCGTAGTTTCCGGACGATCATCCGCCTGGCCACATCTTTGTCCCTCTCTCTTTTTCTCTCTCTCTCTCTTTCTCTCTCTCTCTCTCTCTCTCTCTCTCTCTCTCTCTCTGCAAACAAAATTTTCTTTATAGTGCACGCTATCGTCCATTGTAAGTGCTCTGTTATTCGTGCTAGTTTTCGCGTGTGACGCGGAGATAACATCGGTGGATTCTGACGTAAGGGGCAGTTCCGCGTCTACCAAGCAAATCTTGGGAAAACATTAGATACGCAAGACAATTATCTCTAAGAATGATAAAGCTTAAAAAAATAAACATCATCAAATGACAGCGCGCAAAATTATCTCTTGGCACCAAGAATGAAAGAAACTCTGGACGATCTATTTTTTTCTTGAAAAATGTTCAATCTTTTCATCGATAAAATCTATATATGTCAAAAAATAACAAACGATAAATTCTTATTGTCAAAAAATTGTCAACATGCAGTAGTAATATTCTTCGAACGCTACGGTATTCAAAACTCACATGTGACATTTTTTAATTTAGAAAATCGAGCACGTGAGCACGGTAAATCGTATGAGAAAAGTCATCAAAAAGCAAATCCGGTAGTAAAGGAAAATAATACTATGAATATTCTTGTTGCAGTTCTAATCAACGTGAATTAGCAAAAACTTCAGGCATTAGTCGGTCTTCGATTCAACGGATTTTCAAACAACAAAAATTTGTATTATTTTATTCTAACTCAAGAGATTGTTGAACCAGATTACATAGCATCGCATAGCATTTTGTCAGTGGATGCATGTTGCCATGAAAAATAATGAATGAATTTTTTTGAAATAATGAATTTTTCCAAAATTCTTTTTTTCGATGAAACCACATTTCCAAACATTGAAATAAGCACAACAATTTTTACTACTAACATAAGTATCCGTAATCTGTTTCTTACCGATGGTCGCTGAATGTTTAGTGTGGAATCATTGATGATTTTGTACGTATTTTTTCGAAGGAACTGTCACTAAAAAAGTATACTGATATGCTCGTAATTAAAAAAAATTATTAAAAAAACAAATATTTCAAACATAGATTATAGAAATAAACGGTTTTATATATTCTTTCAAAGACATTGTTTTCAATTCGCGATTTATTTCTTTGCTGCTGGTTAATTTGTTATTTGCGGTACTTTATTTCCATAAATATGCTTAATCTTATTCAACTGTCAACACGAATATATTTGATTAATTATACCTTTTTACCATTTTTAAAGATGTGTCGTATAACAGATATTTTCTTAATTACATCACAATTAAATATTAAAAAATTTTTTTAGTAAAAACAAATATGTATGGCATCGATTGATCCTTAAATCTCAATCTGTCAATTTATATCTCAAATATCATGAGAGATCTAAAGAAATTCTTATTTCATTTTTTATTATTTGAATCTATTAATCATGGCAAATTGATAAAATATACAAAATGTGCAAATGTATAAACCGAAGAAATTGTAGAAACGACAAGGCAGCAATAAAACATAATTATTGATAGAGGAAGTAAACAGAAGACGTGATTTTGCGTCTTCCAACAAAAGTACATATTTCTTATTATCTCTGTAGCGCGTTGCGCTATTTTTAGCATCGAAACATATAGATGCAGCGATGGAAACAGAACGTAAATCTTACATGCTTGTGCTAAGAAAACTACGTGTTTCGATAATGACAAGACTGTCTTTGTAAGCTGAAAAAGTGTACTTTTTTGCTTCATCTAAAATTCAGTCATTTGACATTTAAACTGGACTGAATAAAGCAGTATAGTATTATGTTCGATTTGATTGTCAAACTCCTTATTGTTTAAAAGTTTAATTAATATTAACGAAAATGATTTAAAATAACTTAGTTATTGTCCATACACGTGTATATATATATATGTATATATATATATATACATATATATATATATATATATATATACATATATATATATATATATACATATACATACATATATACACACATGTAGAAGGTGAAATGTCAAACATACCGCGTATAAATAAGATGATAACAAGAATAAGGAGACATTATTGCATTAAACTTGCATCAATTTATAAAAATGCTTCCCTATCAATCATGAGAATAATAATAATATGCAATGGTTCAAATTTACGTCAGCTGATGCATAAACTAAGTAGAGAATAATAAACACACTTCTCTATTTGTTGTAAGCTTGTTCATAAGTTACTATCATTCAGTGCAATTACGAATTAATCATGCTATCGTATAATTTTATTATTTACATGGCATAAAAACTCCATATGTGTGTGCATCGTTATTTATGGTACGTGTCGGATGTATCTAAATGTGTTCAGCTATAAACTGCTAATGAAATAAGTATGTCTATCACGATATATGTATCACGATTTATTACTGTCGTCACCGATTTATTACTTTGCAGCATTGATTACATTTCAATATCTATTAAAATGCTAATAGTTTAATATTAAAAAATATCTGATATACATATTTTTCGCGAGATCTTTGCAATTAACCGTTATTGTTCTGTACGAAAATATAATTTTATATGTGTATATATATATATAAGTTTAGGTGATTAAAATATTTTCTGTTATGTTTCTCCGCTTTCTTTCAAGAACTCTTAGTTGATTTAAAAGCGGAACACGTTGAAAACAAAAGAAATATAGGAAAATAGAGAATAATTGTACGAGTTGTGGCTAGATAAGACCGTTAATGCCATGCCCACGTGCTCGTTGATAAATTAATATCGTCACGAAATCGACAATAATCGAGCAATCATGTAATGCACGTCTATCTCCTTCTCGAATCTTTTTCTTTCCGCTACAATCTTTCATGATGATAAGAAAGATGTAGACTGTTACCACAATTTTGTTTATATGGAAACGACCTATCTGTAAGCAATTTTAGGAAATTTTGGTGATACGACATGTTGATGTGTATGATTTTGTAAAGCCAAAGCCAACAGTTTTGTAATTAAACTGATAATGCACTTTACGCGTAACACAAAGTTCCCCACACAGTTTGTGTAATTTCATGCTGAGACGGATATTGCGCTGATATGCATTAAAAATAGTTGATCCATTTGTATGCAATGTCATAATTCATATTTGTGATATCATGAAAGTCATAACGTGATTTGATGAATGTTAGTTAGATGAAATTGCAACGAATCCGGCTGTGCTTATTTATAATTCGATAAATCAATATCTGTATCTCTTATTAATCTCAATTAAAATATTAATTAAATTAATTAGAATTTTCTCAAACTTGACGAGATAAATAACATTAATATTTGGGACTATAGGGTGAAAATATATATCTTATATGTTTTATTGACAACTTTTATCAGCAATAAACAATAATGCTTTGACCGACATTTCAAGTATACACAGTTGTAATGGAAAATCTCGCTCAATAATATAAAATATAAATAATAATATAAAATATAAATAATAATATAAAATACTAATTTATCATTGACATAATATTTATACAAATATTTAACAATAATCTAATAATATAATTTAAGATTTTGAAAAACAACATTTTCAAGAAATAAAGCGTCTTTTTTTCAAAAATAGAAGAGAACAAGTGAAAATAATTATAATCATATTTATTAACACATTATATCATAGTGCTAATTATATGAATAATTACTTCAACCTGTAATTATAAGGCTGATGAGCGTCATGAAGTTTCTTTTTTATTTACTAGTCCAGCACTGACGTCAGGTAACTCTAGACTCCGAGACACGCGCGACTCTCGAGAACGTATGCACGCGTGTGCACACTCGCGCCTCTTATTATTCGTTACAATTACGAGTGACGTCACGGGTGCAAACAATGTCATTCCGCTTCGCACGCCTTCGTATTCTGTACATCCATCTCTTTCTTCCTTAACCGTGTGATCTCCCACTCATCATCTCCGTCGTTTTGTTATCTGCGTACTAGCACGCGAATACGAGCACCTACGCGATTCTTCCTAGATTCATATCATTTCTGATACAGGATCTTTTGTAAATTTTATAACAGTCACACGTTTTTACTGTATTTTAATTTTGTTTTCTTAGTAAACTTGTAGATTTTTTAAAAATATTGTACGTATAGTTGACCATCGTATGTTAAATATATAATGTAATTCATGATGTTATTCATATTTTTCAAAATATTACAAGTAAAAAATTATATTATAATTTGTCAATTTTTTTTAGTATTATGATTGCAATAAATATAATAAAAGCTTCATTTGTGTATACGTTACATGACGTCGGAATTATTAATGATGTCACTGCAAAATCTCGAAAAGTTATGAATTGATCTTTAGAATCAATCTAAAAAATCGTTTATACGCTACACCTGACAGAATTAAGGATGTAATCATCCCCATCCCAGCGATAGTATAATAGCAGCGTTTGATAGGAGAAATGGTGACGGATGACGTACTTCACTATGACGTGGATTCTCTGACGCGATCAACCGATCAAAGTGTCATGTAATGCAACGCCAATAAAAAATTTCATATATTTGAAATAATTTTTAACAATAGTATTTTCATATGTATTATAATATTTGACTTTGTATTCATTTGTTTCAGTTTTCAAAAAACAATTTAAGAAATTAGTAATATTACAACTGTCTAGAGCTTGCACAGTTTACTGATATCAGTAATTCATATTAAATCATTTTGTTTAACAGTCCTAAATTTTCAAGGAATCAACTTTTAAAATTTTGTAACTATTTTTTTATTTTTCATCATAATTAAAACTTAGAATTAATTGAATTATATTAATCAATTCTATAATATAATATGATTCTCAAATACTCATTAAATAATCAAACAGAAACATCTGCGAGTATATTGGTATTTCAGTGTCATTAATAAATGATCAGCTTATTCGATCTTACCGATATCGATCACTCCCTGCGATTTCCCACCGTGAAGATCGAAGAAAGCTCGATGAAGAGCGCGCGTCTGATCGCCACTTCCTCTGCGTTGCGCTGATTGAAATGCGACAGCGCGTAGATGAGACTGATGAAAAGGATGATAATGATGATGACGACACTCTCACTTGGATGGACCAGGATGGGTGTCGTTTTTTCTTCCTTCGGGAGATAATACGTACACAAGAGTGCCCAAGGTGTCACTGTGTGATCTTGATCAGCTAGCGCTCGCTCGTTCGCAAGCACGCACGTACGCACGTAACGCCAGAAAGAGAGAAGAGAGAGAGAGAGAGAGAGAGAGAGAGAGAGAGAGAAAGAAAGAGAGAGACACAAACGTACGCACGCACACGTTCGCGCACTTAACGCGGCACTCGGAAGTTCGGTGGAAGCCACGAACACTCTTCAGCGAATCAATCGAATCACTGCACCACCCGACATCCGGTCACCTCAGTTCTGCCATGACGATGATGTGTGTATGCTACAGTTGCTTCATTGGAAATAACGAGTGTGTCACGACGCTCGTCTTGGGCCACCACCGCGAGCTATCATACTCCGCAACCACCTCAGGAGGGTTGATGAAGATCTGTGAAAGATGTATCCCCGAGATAAAGATTGTAAACTTTCTGATGTCTTTTCATAGAAATGGTCCAAAATGATTGTTGATCTCTTACCCTCCGACTTTTACTGTCTATCTTCTATCTTTTTTTTCTCACTTTTTGTTTTCCGTTTTTTCCCCGGAAGTTCTTCTTCTTTTCTCGTTTTTTACTCTCCTCCTTTCTTTGTATCTTTAAATATTACTTGCTTTATCTTTTTTTTCTCAGTTTGTCTCTTTTTCGCTCTCCCCGTATTCTCCCTTTTTATCCGCGCTTTATCCGTCTCACACTTTAAGAAGCACGTCACTACCTACTACCAGAAGGAGCAAGTAGCCTCCATCGCGAACTGGAACTGAGGCTTAGTGTGGATGCAAGGGGTCCGCACGTTATTCCGTCCTCGTATCTATCATTTCGAGGCCCTCCTCGGGTTACCCCTCTCCCTCCCACCTACGCCTCCCCGCGGATCCGATAGCTCGATCTCCCTCGATCGAGCGTATGAGCCTCTTGAGCTCTCTTTCCAGCGTGCGACCGATCTCTCCTTCCCTCTACTTCCCAACAACAATCCTCTGGAACCGCTCCCCCCTGGCTCTCGCCGTCCTAACCGAGGTGGCCCTCTCGCTAACGCGACTAGGCGGCTATCTCGACTATTAATATAAAAAGGGGTTCCTCGACACTCGCCGCCCGGTAATTGAGCCCGCGCGGTCAGCATAGCACAGTACTCTCGCCAATTTAGATTTCCATACCGGCCTAAACCCTTTTTCACCTTATTCACTGATCTTCTGGTTATTCAGTCTTAATGATCGCGAAAACGATCGCGTTCACTTGAACGTCATACACGTCTTCGAGGGAAAGTCCGAAGGATGTGCATTACTCTTACAGTTTTAAAGATAAGAAGAAAGTTGATTTTAAGACAATCTTTTTAAATAAAAGCACTTCAATTTTGTTGCAACAATTTGTTGTTCCAATATCTCAGTATTATATATTGTGATTGAACAATTCACAATTTAGTAAGTTTTGTAATACCTATTTTTTAAGAATATAAGAAAACGATATGTCTTTTTTTTCATTTTCTTTTTTAATTATATAAGAGAAAAAAAGCAAATTTTTATTGATTTCTAGAAAATAATTCAAACATATTCCTCTAAAATAACGCTTTGAGAGAATAAGAATTAATCATGACAAAACGGGGTCGGAAGGAACACTTTGTCGCTCGATTTAAATAAGAGCACTCACAATCAGTATCGGGGTAAGATAGTCAGTCGTCGAAGTATCACATCCGCGTGCTCAAATTAGGGCTATAACGGATGCTGTTGAGGCAGGTCTGCAGAAAACAGGATATTATCACATTTAAACCTCGTATTTGAGCATTTTAGCGCTATATAGTAGAAAAAACGCATAACGGAACAAAATCTAAATACGTTATATAATTTTGTAAATATTTTTTGACAAATTCTATAAATATATCTTTTAATTAATTTGAATTTGACTGTCTTTTCTAATTGCATTCTATTGATTAAATTAATAATAAAATAGATCTCCTCTGAATGAGAACTATTATGTATTACGATTATAAAAAGGTATAAAAAAATTTTAATATGCTATTTTTTGGCTTCAGAATAGTACATATGCCACTTTTTAAAAAACGACTCGTATAATTTAACAATTTTATTATATTTAAATGGATATTATAGTCATTTTTATAGTATTTTATAAAAGTTTAAAAATGTATTTTCATAAAAGTGACGTAAAAATATAAATATTTATCACATTTATTATAAAATATAAATATTTAATATATATATATAAAATATAAATATTTATCACATTTATTGATTGTAGTTGTATACAGTGTCTTAGACCGAAGCCTTGTCTGATTATGAGCGCGCGAATTTAGTACAATCTAACCCATACAGCACAAAATATTCTACATATCCTTAGGACATCTTGGGGAGATCTCGATGTCCTCAGAACATCCTTGGGACACCGAAATATCCTCGATGTCCTGAGGATATCCTGAGGATGTTTTGTGCTGTATGGGTAACTGATCAACTTTAGATCAGGTACAGAGATTGGTTGTCATGGTAACGGTAAGATGGCAGCGCTCAGTGTATATACAACTGTATGTAATTCCAACGTCGTAACATACGTATTGCAGTGCAATTTTACGCCGAGTTATATATAGCCGGATATATTCTCAATGTCGGACTGTGTCGGATCGAATTGCAGTCACTCTTGCAGAGATATATCACTTGATAATAAGCCAAAGCATGTAAGACGCTTGAATTTCGGACAATCAATCCTCGAACTTGATGCCATGGAACAGTGCTATGCGTCAAATCACGTCCTTATAATTGATCAGAATGTTGCTCACATACCGTGTACCGAGAAAAAGGATTACGTGCGTAAATGGATCGAGACTCACGAGAACGATGAGCGCGACGTAATATCGAGCGATGATTCATCCCGGTCATCTCCCATTCTAGGAACATCGGCGATTAAGGCTTCCAAAACGTCGCCGATCCTCAAAAACAGCAGGAAACGACCTAGGGGAAAGATCCGTATAAATAGACACGTTAAAGTGAAAAAGGTGAGCGATGTAGATTGCCAGGAGAATGCAAAGTGTGTTACAAATTGCGCAATAAAATATAAGCTAGATTGTGGAAGCAAAGAGAAGAATAAGAATAATCAGGAGAATTTCAGCAAGACCCAATGCACATCACCTTGCACAAAAAAAATGGTTACTGATGAGACATCTCCTATCATCGGTCCAAAATCTTCAAAATTACATAATAACAAAATTATAAGTATAAATATGAATTCTGTGATATTACCTGATAAAAATTGTAGCGCTTTAAAGGATATATCTTTAGATGACAAACTGAAAACAAATTTAAACATCAACTATATTACAACTACTCTCTTCTCAACTGAAACAAAAAGTCCAGAGATACATCAGGAATATAAAGGACCATTTTCATCAGCAACACAAAAAGAATTGAGGTTTCAATATGACTCAACTGATAACACTGACAAGGATAATCCAAAGATAGAAATAAGCACGAGTGATGATAGCAAAGATGAGAAATGCAATAAACTTTCAAGTACACATAGCAGCAGTAACAATAATCTGAGTAATTTGATAGAAGAGATTGATACACAGGAAGCTACACAAAAATCTCAGTTTTCAATGTCAGATGAATCTTCAACTCCTTCAAAACAACCATTTATGCCGGCACAATTAGCTACTGACGATTCAGATGAAACTTATTGCTCAGAAGTAGAAATAATGCAGGATCAAAGTATACATCTATCTGCAAAGATCTCCGAGGTGCCATCTTTGGATAAAATTACGCAAAAGACAGGTAGTAGGTCAACTCAAACTGATGTGATTATTAGTACCATAACTACTCCATCAAAGAAGTCTCCAGATAAAAGTATATATGCACATCTTCTGAATTCTGAGAAGAAATACCGCAAACCTAAAAAGTAAATATCAATGATGAAATCATAATCTAACATGTAAAGTAATACTTATAATAAAATTTTATAAATGTCATGTTTAATATTTTTATTTATTTTACAGAGGAAGTTTAGTTGCAAAATTGCAATCTTTGGTCAATACGCAAGTGTCTGGTATTCGTATATGGCGTCATCGAATAAATAAAGAGCAAGGTATCGATGAGCGATTCATCAGCGTACTTGTACGCAATTGTACGAAACGGTTTAACAATCAATTTCTGGATGGTGTCCTGATTGAGGATCACTTTAATCTCCTACAAAGTAACACTGCGATCAAGAACATAAAATCACAAAATGTGGAAGTTGAATCAAAAGAAGCCTTATATAAAAATATAATGATTTTGCTAGTCTGTGATATAGTTGGCACATTAAAAATTATGTCGCAAGCTGTGATAAACGTTTATCCTCCTTGGAACATCTTAGATAAAGATAATCTTACCATAGAAGTAATGTATATAAGCATAAGTGATAATCAGGATGTACCTGATATTGTTAATAATTCATATGAATGTAAGAAACGAATTGTCAAAGAGTTTAATTGTCCTTGTATAGAAGAACAAAGGGAATTGCCATTTTGTTCAAGAAAGCCTAATAGCGATAAGCCTGATGTAATGCAGCGAATATTTGACTTCTAATGATATATTTATTGCGTATTTAAAGTACTATTATAAAATTGTCCTATTTCTAGTATAATCAAACTTTTGTAGTAAATACGTTTTTAATTTCATAACTTGAACTGGGTGCTACTACTTTTAATTTTAATTAGAGTCATGTAACTATGATAATTTTGTTATAAAATTTGAGTTTTTAATTTAATGTTATTTTTACGTTTTAATTTAATATTCTTATTCGTGATATAATACTGAAGTGTAATAACATATAAATATTAATGTTGCTGTTTTTAATTAATAAAATTTTTATAATTACACTATATTGTGTGACAAGTTTTATTATACATTAGAGTGATACAAAAAGAGATTGATATGTGATATATAAAGAAGCAACTATTTTTTATAATAAATAGATTTTCTTTCTTTAAGACATTTTATATTATTTGCGAAAAATAATATATTTGCAAAATAAAGTTATGTAGTTTGTGAGAATATAAAATGTAAAATTTTATAAAATAAGATTGATTATCCAAGTTGGATAAGTAGAGTTTTTAATTTTAGCAACGTAACACAGACTCTACTCAATAGATGGTTCTGTATTTCATTTGATATATCAGTGTTTTCCTTTGGATACTGTGGAAAATTGGTTATTAACCGATTTTAATCTGTTTTTTAATATTTTGTTATAGTTATACAATTGCTACCGTAAATAAACGAGGGAAATTGATATTAGTTATTGAACAAAAGTGAGTGGTAAGCTGTCTTTTTCTTCGAGCTATTCCTTCCAAATTGTGTTATCGTTGACGTATCAAACTATTTGACATTAGATATTTCATTGTATTGTTAGGTACTTTAATAGAATTTAAGTGAAATTTATTACTTATATCGATAAGATTTGCTCTGAAACAGTAATTAAAATTTCAACAATAGAGAAGCTTGATTACTTTATTGCATGTTGAGTATCATAACCTAAGAGACAACATTGTTAATTTCAATATTCATTGTGTCTTCTATAATTTTAGAGTCATGTCAGTAACTCAAGATCGTCCTGAATTATATGAGGAAGTTAAGCTCTATAAAAATGCTCGGGAGAGGGAGAAGCATGATAATCAAGCTGATCTATATGCTGTGGTAAATACGTTACAACATTTGGAAAAGGCTTACATCAGGGACTGCGTTACACCGAAGGAGTACACAGCAGCGTGCAGTAAATTATTAGTACAATATCGAGCAGCATTTAAACAAGTGAGAATGGAGCAAAAGTCAACTGCTCGTATCTTGTAGTATGATAATTAAAGATGTGCCTATAAAAAAATTCTAATTCTATGTTTTGTTACAGGTGCAAAGTGATCAATTCCCAACTATTGATTCTTTTACTAGAGCATTTCGATTAGATTGTCCAGCTGCCCTTGAGAGAATTAAAGAAGATAGGCCAATTACGATAAAGGATGACAAGGGAAACACATCCAAATGTATTGCAGACATTGTTTCATTATTTATCACGCTTATGGATAAATTACGATTGGAAATTAAAGCTATGGATCAGCTACATCCAGATCTAAGAGATCTTATGGACACGATGAATCGTCTTAGCATACTACCAAGTGATTTTGACGGTAAAGAAAAAGTTGCAGAGTGGTTACAAACTCTTGACAATATGTCCGCCTCAGATGAGTTGTCTGATACACAAGTCAGACAATTGATATTTGACTTAGAGACATCTTATAATGCTTTTAACAAGATACTTCATAATTCTTAATTCTTTAAATCTTTTCTGCATATTTTTTTGCTGAATTGAGTTTTTACTAATCTAATATCACTTATAATATAGGCCTCGATATATGTACATGTGATTATGATTTATAGTCAAGTAGTATAGAAATGTTCAAAACTATTGTTATATTTGTATGTCTCAATATTACTCATATATTTTATTACGATATATCGATCAACAAAGCCAATATTTTGCCAGTTTCTGTTTGCGGGTGGAATGGCAACGCGAGGTTAAATTCATGCCGCGTCTCTTTGATGTGCCAAGAGCAGACTTTTCCGAGTCAAGTATTTACGTGGGCACACCCGGTATGCAAATGGAGAGGGTGGTCCTTCGGCACTCGGCTGCCACGCCGAGCGTCGGAGTACAATAACGGTTCAACTATTGACTAAACTAAACTAAATTAAACCGAGCTAAACAGCGCTATGTTGTATTCGCAGTCGTGCCATTCCGCCGCATTTGTGTCCGTGTGCATATACATCCCCCATTATCGGTCATGTACACGCGCACTCGCAAGAGAGAAATTTACATGCCACCAATACTGTCATTACTTGTAAAGAGCTTAGAGTATTTTGATATTTCAAGAAATGTCTCTCCTAAAATTAATTTTGTTGTTACATAATTCAACGCTATCGAACCAAAACTAATGTGTATATAATACATACGTTATGTCGAAAAAAAAAATTAATACTTGAAAAAATACGTTTTATTGTAATTATTACTTTAGTTGAAATATTTAAAATAATTATTACTTTAGTTCAAATATTTAAAACTGCATTTAAATCAAATACATGTCAGTAATATCAATAAACTTGTGTATTTAAAACAATATGGCTTTGACGTATTTAATTTAGTGAATTATCATTTTTTGCATTTTACAATACAGTTAATAAATTAGATTAATTCAATATTATTTTCTACGGACTAAAACAGATTAGAAAATATTTTTTTTTAATCAACACTCTCAATCTACAAAAATTACTTTTGTTGACAGAGTGCATCTTCTAACTTTTAAAAATGCACATGAATAAATAGTTTGAAAAAGATACATAACGTATCATTATACACAATTAAAATTTGTTAATTATTTATGTATACATATCTAAAGATTATGAAAGTGAAACTTCTAGCTATTCTATACATATCATATTTGATCTTCATTGAATCGGTTCAAAAACTTATTGTCGGTTCTTTGTTCGTAACAAATCGAATCGTATCTTAAAATTTCTTCTCAGATCCATTTCAAATTCCTCTTCCGCCAGACTCGATTCTGGTTTATCAATTCCAATTCTAAGACCTCGGTTTATCTTCCGATGATATGATCTGAGAACGACGAGAGAGAGAGAGATTTTCATACAACTTTCAAATAAAAATGATCCTCTCAAGGCAATCCCAAAGTCATTTCAGCGAGCTCGAACATTGCCAAGCCACTCTCTTTCACGGGGCTATATCCTTCATACACATCCTGCGATGAAAAATACACAGACATTCAATGCATATACAAACACCAAATGCACACTTGTGCGCTGGCTTATCCGTCAATCTGTTCGTTTACCTAACGGTGTTATTTCAATATAAATCACTCCTGCTATAGAACGAATATGCTTGCCTTTGACAGGGTGATTTACCTTCTCTCACTTTTGCCATCATATAAAAATTCAGATTTCGCGAAACGATTCTCGGCAGCCGCGGAGAATCAAAGATTTTGATGTATGTATGATCTTTCGGTTGCGCTGCGCGACTAGATGCATATATGTATTGATATATATATATATATCAATATTCATTTCGGAATTTATATTCATAATAAGATAATTGACGAAAAGTAAAATTACAATATATCTGTGAAGAACATATGACAGGCACATACGCATAATATACATTAATATATAATATATGACATTGGTTAAGTTGGCGTGTTTCCCTCGGCTTCATGTCGCTTGAAAGGCATATCACACATTGAGAGAACGTGAGTCGCTTTGAAAAATCGTGTCCGATATATTGGTGGAACGAAGAAAAAGAAGCGGCACGTGAGAAAGGGAAGGAAGAGAATGCTCGGATTCTCGCGTACTCCTGATCGTCCCTGATGGCGATGGTACACCTGGGTTTTCGAATATTCGACTGACGACGTCAACGTGTGCGCCTGTACGTTCGTTCACCGAAAATTTTACGTAGTTCGGATAAGCGAAGATCGACGACGTAAGTGAAATTCTCGCTCTCTTTCGGTACCTCCGCCGGAATTCCAAAATCTTCGGCTCGTCGGTTGCGACGACTTCAAAGAAAGCTTCGAGAAGAACTCCTCGATCCCACGAACTTTTATCACGGATTTTCTGCGAGACGTTGGTATCGATTCTTTCGCCATGCAACTGTACGAGATGCAAATATGTGATTGGCTCGTTCTTCGAAAATTTTACATCGTTCGGATCAGCAACGGATCAGACCGATTTAAATAAAATTCTATCATCCTTAGTCTTTGACTACATCTTGAAATCTCTGCGTCTTGCACCTAAAAGAAAATTTTTAAAAAGCAACTGTCGATCTGTCAACTTTTTCTGGATTTTCCTCGAGACGCAGATTCAATTTCAAATTAAAATAAAAATAAAACTCTATTTGTCATGTTTTAGAAATTTTAATGAGAATATTATTAATGACAGAAATATTCCGCTTACTCACCTATATATATTAAAATCACCTATATATATTAGATTCACCTATATATAATTATATTAAAATCGTGTCTCAATTAAAATATAGTATTTTTTAACAATTAACAATTTGTAACAATAATACAATAAATACTGCTTCGAATTACGAATGTTAAATGTACTATATATGGAGCCAATTCTTATTTTGACTATCCAAACTTTATAAAATTAGAAATAATGATAATATTAAGATATTGAAAATAATTGAAAATAATACAACTAAATAATTTTAATAAGTACACAGATATGTGATAAAAATTAAGAAAGAAATTATAACAATTATCGATATATAATTGTATGTGAGCAGCAAGTGAATTTGTTGTCTTCCATTGATTTAAATGTTTTGCTATAAACTGAAGTAGTACCCGTAGTTTTTGACTAGTCTTCCGAATTCCAATCTTCGTTTCTTTAGCTTCTCTTTAATACTTTTAAGTTCTTCTTTCAGAATACGTGTTGCCAATTTAATTATCTAAAACAGATTATTTTTACAATATCACTAAATATAATACAATTTGACAGAACATAAAACAAAACATAAGACAGAACATACTTTACAGTGCACAGTGTAATACACATTAGATATATCATGTATGTAACAAATATATTTAGATATAAATAAGTTTTATATTCAGATGTCAAGAAATGAGTGTGTTAGTAAATAAGTAATTAAAGTTCAAAAAATATACCTCTGCCATGTGATCTTCCCTGTGCATATGTGTGATAATTACAATTAATGTTGCAATTAAGTCATTTCTCCTACAAAAACAAAGTAAAAACTAAGCAATTTAATAAATGTAACAAATATCAATAATTAATTATTATATTATATATGAATAATTAAGAAATATAAATACAGAGATATATTTCTAAAGAAAAATACTATTACCTATTTGAGCTGAGTGTAAAATTTTTAAAAATTTCGAAAAAACAAGATTGCATTGCATCTCTTTGTGCATTTTTCGCAATAACAAGAAGAAATGTATTAGCAAGCTTACTGCTTTGTTTGCTTTCATTAGACCGAATTTCTTTCAATACTGTTATTTTCAAAAAATCGCAAAGAATAGTAGAATCTTTAGAACAAGTTAGATATTGTAAAAATCTTTCATCAGATGTTGCATTCCATTTCTCCCATATCTTGTACCAAATATCGTGGCTTGCTGTTGTTACACCATAACAGTATATCCATTCCTCATTCCTCAAATAACTGCATTACAAAAAAAATATTTTTACTACAAATTCGCTTACATTTACATTACATTTTGAAATTTTAATAATAAAATAATTTATCTAGCATAATACAACAACATTCTGATTATATAAATATCGTGATTGTAAAGCGGCTTACCTGTTTTCTACAGAATTTTCAAGCACTATGCTTAATTCTGTTGCAGCTGTCCTTCGACACTCAAAAATATCGAGGATACATGCCCATTTTATAGCTTCTTGTCTTAAATATGTGGTAAGAGTATGTTCTGTTGGTTCTTCATAGTATCCTATTTTTGAAAGAAGTCCATCTATTCTTTCCTTTATTTTCTCCTAAAAATCATGAAATTTAAATTTAATGCTGTTGGTTTTTTTTAATATATAATATGTATTGTAAAATGTAACTCTCTTTTTCATAGAAATCTATCATTACCTACCTGTGTCAATGCATTATATTCTGTATGAAACGCAAAGCCAAATGGAAATATACACGTCATCTTTTCAAAAGCTTTAATCAGGGGATACCATGTAACAAAATTTGTGTCTCGGTGTACGACATTTGTAAGATTCCAAAATACCTCGTAATTGAGTTGGCTTTGTAAAAAAAAGTAGAATGCGTCATCGATCATTTGAGCACGATTAAGAATATGTACTTTGTTATAATGTTCAGAGTTTAAGTAGCGTACAAGTTTGTGCCAGTTTTGTAAATCATATTGGACGCGATAGTATCCTATCATAGAGAGGAAAAATTGTTTTGATCATTAAAATATCTTAACCGAGAATTTACTCAGAAATACTTCCACACACACACACACACGCACACACACACACACACACACACACACACACACACACACACAAATCCCGTTTGTATCTACATATTTTTTCAAATTACGCATTTTTGAATAAATTATTTTAAAGAATTTGTGTAAAACATGCCTATTGAAAATTATAAATTGGAAAATCTCTTTAAATTAATAATTAATTTTGGAGATTTAAGTTGGGCAAAAAATTTTGTACAACTTTAAGTAATTCTAACTAGATATGTATATTAATATATAATCAAATCAGTCTTGAATAATATTTAAAAATTATCAACGGAAATAAAAAAAGAAAAAATTAAAATAATAATATAAAACGTCAACTACTCAAGAAAGGCAAAGCATACGTATATTTATCGTTCAGTATTTACCAGTTTGTTGTATGTTGAGTACAATCCAATCGCTTTTGTCAATGCCTAAAATTGGGTGCTCTAATTTTTCCGTGGTTAGCCAAAACAAAGAATCATCAGTATTGTCAAAATTAAGAGACGATTGCGTCGTTAATGTTACAGGTATCCAAGTTTTTATGTTATCATTAACTAAATGTGGATAGAAAGATTGAATGTCTATCGCTAAAGTCACATTCCAGTAATTTTGTGTTACGTTTAAAAGAGGATAATATTCTTTCGATATCCAACTTTGTATTATCTGTTTTAAATGAGAACTGAGCATATTTTGTGGATATGTTTCTTTGTGAATAGTTTGCATAATGGTCCATAAATCATCTAGTGTTGTTTTGTTTGAATAAATACGGCTAAAAAATTAAAGTTATTTAAAAGTAAACATTGGAATATCTTTTTTTTTAATAATTACAAAATTATATTCCATTATTACATAAACATTTTTTTTTCACTATTAATAGGTATACGTAATGTTATATGTAAAGTATCTTTTTTTCACAGGCTGTCGAATGCTCTCTTTTTGTCTAGTGTTATATTCAAGTCGAATTAAATTTCTCTTTAATCAAATGGTCTCTCGATAGAAATTATTATTAGTCCGCAACACGTTATTTTAAAAACTTTTCAAAGCAACTGCTTATTTTCAAAACTACGTTTTCATAACGATATTTTTATACATGTTTTAATTTTTAATCTTGAAATCTATTAATGTAAATAGAGTATTTATAATTAAAAAAGAAATAAGATTTCTTTTATTTACTTGTAATTCTAAATACTAGTTTTCAAAAAAATATCAAAGTTTAATTATTTAAACTAGAAATCAATTATATCGTTTATATTAAAGTATATTTTAATTTCGAAAGTAGATCATATGTTTTTGGAAAACTTTTCGATAAAGGTAACAGGCTTGAAAGTTTATATCTCTACTCTCCATACAATAACAAAATGCAAACATGTTATTTTACGCAAAATGCCCAATTTTCCTATGTAATTGCTATATTATAATATGTGATATTATTACTCACCACTTGTCTATATATGTACGGATACCATTCCAAAATATATCAGGAATTACATGGTATAACATGCGCCACACTATGAATGCTGTGATAATTAAAATTATCTATCATGTTTTATTCAATAATAAAAATTTGTCATATTTTTATCATCAATTTTATATATATATATAAATAATATATATATTATTATATTATAATATTATATATTATATTATAATATATATATAAATTATATATATAAATATAATTGTATCACAGTTAAATTTTCTTAAATTCTCCTACGTAATATTCTTGAATTTGTGAGCAAATGTCAATACAATTTTTGTTCATTTATTTACTTGAATTATAAACAACATTTCATATATATTTATTTTATCTTGCTATAATACGACGCAAATGAAACTTTTCTTTAAACTTTTTTGTAATATTTGTAACATTGTTTTTTTATTATATTTACTTTACAAAATAAAGTAGTAATAACATATAGTTTTTATTTACTGAGAAACTTACATTTCACATAATTTAGAGATCCTAATGATTTGACTTCAGAGGTGTTTGTCCTGTTCAATGTTGCAAAGTCTACAGAAGAAGTGTCGTAACGAAAAGAATCTTGTTGTGCTTGTACAACCAGTAAATCCATCATGTTATTATTTTGGTATACCTGGAAAGTTTGATATAATCAAATTAATATTTAATTTAAAAATGTATTTGCATCAGCAACATAAATTTAGTTCTGTCAATTGCTGCTATTTTAAACTCTTGCTTATTTGTCTTTAAGTATAAAAATGCAATATATCAATTTTAAAGATATAATACAACCTCATCCAAGATATACGCTGCGAAAAATGTAGCAAAACCTTCTTCTGACCAAAGTAACGCATTATTACACCAAAGAAATACCAATGCACGCGCGATCATGTGTGTAACTTCCCCTTGGCGTGCAGCGGGATCCACGGCTTCATTATAAATAATATCTACTTCTCTGAAAATTGTTTTCAAGAAACAAACTTCCGTTAAATTTTTTCTGATTGCAAAAAGAAGGCTAATGTGTCATTTAAACATTCTTGCGTTTCTATTTATACTTATTGTTAATAAACAACGCATTATAATTTATCTATGATGAATTGAAGTGGTCACAAATGTTCACTTACATGATTAGCAGAATATATATATATATAAAAAAAAAAAAAAAAAAAAAAACGTAAACTCGGCATATTTTTGCATAAATAATGTCGCGAATGAAAATGAGCTTACTATTCAAAAGAGACTTTTGAGAGAGATGAGTTCTCTCAATATCATTGATGCAATAAAACAGATATTGCAGCAATCGCTTTATTTGTATGGCATAAAACACACACAGTTATATAGATTTTGCGTGCTTTTAATAGTGAAATCTGATTTAAAATTTGATTTGACGTAAAAAATTTTTATTTAAAATAAAGGCAGAAGTTTAAAAGTTTTTCAATATGTAATGCAAGTGCCATTGTCATGAATCTTGCTTTTCCCTTAATTAACATATTGACATGAAAATATGTTTATCTCCTAATTTTTAAATATCATTGAGATCTTTATTCTTTTATGTTGATTTTAATGATTAATGTTACCTCAACAGAACGAGTCCCAGTGTCGTAACGGCATGAACATCGTCTTGAGGATGCCACAATGCAACAATATCCAATTTTGATAATTCCGCCAAGTATTTTTGTTTAAAATAAGGTAGAACCTCTTCGATAACATTTATTGCATAAAGAACATGTTTTGCAGCACTTTGTCTGCACCACACGGTAACATTTGGGAGCTGACTAGAAACAGCAGTAAATGTGGTTATCACAATCGATATCTGTTGGGCAGACATTGATGATTCGTCAAAGTCAGTCCACATCATGCCACCGTCAGTTTTACTTTGTGCTCTTATAGGAATATTCAATAAAATTGTATATTTTTCATCATGTTTGATGGCAATTTTAAATGTGGAATTGATGATTATCTCGTCTTCGCACGGAAATAGTTGTCGAGCCTTCATTACCTCAACACCTGTTTGGTCCAACCTATAATAATTTGATGCTATTTAGATAAGGATATATTATTAATCATGATTGGGTTAAAAATATTAAGATTCAACAATTATAAAGATATTTTATGATTCGCCGTCACGAGTGATGTGATGATTTGGAGTACAGTTCTGGAAATCGATCAATTTTGTGCGTAGTATCGCATGACACTTCAATCATGATTTCTCAAATTTTATTTCTTTAATAATGTAATTTCTGGCAAGTTAAGATAACGGTAAATACAATAAAGATACTTGAATAGTATCTTACTGTACAATATATTTTAAATATTTTAACTTACATTTGATCTTCTGGTTTTTCTTGATATGCAGATCTGACGAAACTTTTTCTGTTTTCATACATAATACGTATATATGTCATCTTTAAAGTGAATGTATCAGGAAAAATATGATGTAATAAGCGGTTAAAATTAAGAGTAAGAATGTTTTTTTCTTTGTTGAAGGATGAACTAAATAGTTTATACACCGTTTCATTTTTACCATCAATCAAGATCGCGTCCATTACATAAACAGATACCGAGTACATCGTTATAGATTTCAATGGTTGGCTAATGTTTATAATAATATTGCAATGACCAAATAAAATATTGTCCTCGAAGAAAAATCGTATTTCGCTATTATAATGCAACGGTACTATAATCGACAAATTATCATTAATCGGCGTATATTTCGTATTATATTTCCTATTGTTAGCAATCCGTTCATAATCCGTATCGTTAGCTCTTTTTTCATATTTCGTATTGTCACCAATTTGTTCATATTCCGTATTGTTAGCAATCCGTTCATAATCCGTATTCCTAGTTCTTCTTTTATATTTCGTATTGTCACCAATTTGTTCATATTCCATATCGTTAGCAATTTGTTCATAATCCGTATTGTCAGATATTTGTGCATATTTCGTATTGTTAGCTATTTTTTCATATTTCGTATTATTAGTAATTGTGAAGTTAGGTTTGATAAAATCGACACCAACAGAACGGCAAGAAAGAGTAACAGTTATCGTAGCGAATAATACTAATCCGCCATATAATAAAATTTTTCGGGATATCATATTAATGTAATTCTGAATGGAATCTGTAAAATAATCTATAAAAAAATATTGTAGTTAGAAAAAGAGAAAGACGTCTACAACAGCCAGCCTTTAAATTTTCATATAACAAAAAAGATAAATATTGAAGAAAAATTTTATTTATTTGTACCATAAAAAATTTTTATAAAAAGTACAGAAAAAGACTAAATCGTTTCTTAAGATTTTTAAAAAAGATGTGATTTCGAATATAAGAAATTATACACAGAATCATATAAGCAACATAATACACCCTTAAAACTTTTTCTTAAACATAGAAATAGAGAATGTGGAATGTATAAAATTTAGATAATTTTCAAATATAAATGTAATAAATGCAATTTTAATTTTTTTTTAAAGAAAATATGTTTTCTAAACATATTATGTTTTTAGAAAACAAGTTTTGTTCTAAACTACGCTTCACACGCAACACATTTTCTTAGACGAATGAGATGGATTCAAAGTTTAGTTCAGTGTGTATTTTTTTTCAGTAACTAGATAGGTTTGAAATTATTTTGTAGTTTGTGTCTTTTTCGGAAATATACTTAAGCTACGCAAAATATGATCTCAAATCGTTTGAAATTAAAAGATATAAATAATTATTTTAGAAATATAAAATTAATACATTCCTAAATCAATTTATGATAAATGTTAAAATAATTTTTAAACGAATGCAGTTAATCTTTAATTGTTTATCTGGTCATGCAATGTAAGAAGGAAACAGACAAATATTAGAAGAAGCATCAATATTGATACTGAAATATGTGCTTTCAAGAAAATAAAGCTATACTTGTGATTTATATGTATTCTTCTATATTTTTAAAATAAAATATTTTTTGTTGTTGGTTACTCACCTATATATATTAATTAAAATAAAAGAGTTTACCGCAATGAGCAATTTTGTAGGAATAATATGTCTAACACCGCTTTGTCAAGAGATATTAAATTTATTCACGATGTTACTGTATCGAAAAGTCATCGAATACTGAAGAAGATATTGATAATCAACATAATATACACGTTATGCTATGTAAACAGCTTTTAAGAGGTCACTCTCAGCATGAAACCTTACTAATCCATAGACGAGAAAAGAAATTAAGATATGTAATGAAATAAATCTACACATAAAGTACAAAAATTAAACTGTCTTGTAGTTTAAAATAAACAATTGTTCACAGTGTTTATTATATTTTACAATAGATGTTGTTAAATAATTTGTAAAACGAATTTTTAAAATGCATTTATGTTAAAATATACTACGCACAACAATTAAGACATCGAGACAAATTGTTTAAAAGAAAGGCAATTTTCAAAGTTTTGTAATTCCGCAAAAAAATCATGGTGTTTTAATTTAACGAAAAGCATTTTGTAGCTTGAAACTTCTTCTTTTTCAAATGCCTTTTTCACTGATTTTAATTATCCTTTTTTTTTACAAAACCATATTTTTTGTTCGCCATTAATAATAGAACAATGAATTTATATTACGGATACTGCTAATTCTTCCACGGCGTTTCCTCAAAAACATTAACTTGACGCGAGTGCCTTTTATCTCGTCGAATAACATAACCGGGTGGAGAAAAAAAGTACAATTTCGTAAAGTCAGCCAAATGACGAAATTACATGCGGCGGCGAGCGGCCGCTCGTCCCTGGAGGTTTCCGCGCAATCTCGCTCTTCCTGAGGAATGAATACAGTTTTAACGGGGCTGTCAAGGGAGCTATATATATTCGTGTGCTTCGGGGTCCGTTGCGAACACATCGTCGCAACACACACCGCCATTGGCTTTTAATGTCCAACTGGGAGATTATTCGTCCCTGGAGGATGAAAGAAGAAAAGTTGAGATCGAAAGTGCGTTTTCGGGGTGACGGTATTGAACATTGGCGGGCGCAATATATATCGAATATTGCACAAGTGAAAATCTCCGCATCAATTGTTGCGATAATGAGGAAAGGGCGTAATTCGTAATTTGCCATACACTTTATCCGCGACCTTGCTGAATACGAAATACATGACAATTAATATAGCGCGAAAAATGTCGTCGGACAATGTGCCGTCGCACAAGCCGCAGTATCGTCCTCCGTTTGCGCTGCTCCTTCATGCGGCAATCGAATTTCTGGATGCGCCCGTGAACTTCGCCCTCGGGAATGCGGCGCTGCTCGGCCAGAGAAATCCAATTGTTCGTCGTTGATTCCTTTGTAATCGGCCGAGTACAGATATTCCGCCGCTGCCGCTAGGCAGGTAACATTTTAAAGGGAAAAATTTCATTCCGGCGGCGCGCTGCTGCGATGCGTTTCGTGTGCATCGCAAATATAAGCGTGCCGATGCGGCGAAACAAAAGACTGGATTTAATAACGCGTTCTCGCAGAAATGTGTTGCCAAACGTTGATGCATACGAGAGATATATACAGGCAGGATCGATGGCGAACGTTTACACCGTACGTTCGTACGTTCGTTCGGTTCAATAAAAGTTTACGCCCTGCCTCGGGGTATGTTGTCGTGCTTCTGATGTCGGAGATACAAAGCTGAGCGTGCGAAATAATCTAATAGCACGCGAGCAGAAACGCAGGACGCCAAAGAGAATGAGAGACACAAGAAGGTGCATTTCGTCCATGTTTATCCCGCGGCGGATGTCTCTATGCGCTAATTAACTTGCACACTACGTTTCTCTTAACAGCGAAAGGTCGAAGAACAATTTGTTAAGTCGAAATACAAACTCACGAGTGTACATGTAAGATAAAAATAAAAATTTATAAATACCACGTTAATTGTCAGTTATTGACTAATAAATGAAATCTATTATTAATCTCATAACACAAAGAAATTAATTTCTTAAATATATATCAATTACTTGTTAAATTGCAACATTCTGCGAGAAATAAATAAAAAGGCAATTCTATATCGAATATAAAATCTTGAGATTTGATCAAAAGATAACGTTAAAAATATTAGATACTTAATTAGGATAGTACGGGCGATTTTGAAAGACTCCTCAGATAATGGAATAATCATTTGATCAACGACGTCTGACGCGTTGATTGTTTTGATACCGTGATTATTTTATTATTGAAGCTTAGATATACGCGAAAGGCGAGCACGCGCTGGCGGTGCTCGATTTTCCAACAGCACCATACGTTTAGGAATTGGTAACATTTGTCGGTGATTGGAAGAATTTACGAGGTTCTCTCCCGACTAGAACCCCGCTCTTCCGTCTATTCCTCACCGGCTCTTCCTCTCGCCGGAGCTACCGATAAATCACTTTCCCGACTCCGCGAGATTTAATATAACGTCAATATTCCTGGTAGCGAATAAAAAGACGGAAAGGGATATTCACGGCGAGTCCTTGCCACGCATCGTGGCCCTCGTGTGGCATTCGTGCGTGACGTGGGATAAAACCGTTTTAAAATTGTAAATACATATGTCGTATGTCGGGAACGTCGAGCGTTTCTGCTTCTTTCCGAAATACGACGGAGAATCGTAACAAATTCTTTTAAGAATCTATGTTTATACCCGTTAAATTTATCGTGTGGATTTGAATGAAACAATTGAGAGAGATATTAACTCAACTAAATGGGATACTATAATAAATTTCATCATAAATATCCTTTTAACAATAACGTTAATATCATTCGGTAATAATTTCATAATAATTAATAATGACTATTGCGATACACGATAATAAATAGGACAGAATCAAATTTAATTAAAACTAGTTAATCGCCATTCACAATACGTCTTGATACTAATGGTTCTGTTGCTGTGCATTATACTGCGGTGCGCAGTAGTTGTTTCTTTATTTTTATCAGAATAAGCCTCTTTACAAGTCCTTCTTTTTAAGAAGACAATTTATTACTTTTTTCGCTTTTATCAATTTGTAGAATACTATTGCATCTTCGAGATAATAGATTTTCTAAATTCTCTATCGATCAAAGATAAAACGGCTATTTCAGAAAGATTTCATGATTTAATTCGCGCTACGATTCAGTCTTCGAGATTTAATACAACCTCGATCAATATTCCTGATAGAAAGCGCGAAAGAGGAAAAAGGATATTTATTAGAGAAAGAGAAAAAGTCAAGATTCCGAACTGTTCGATACACGTCGCGCTGGGTACCGCGCTTTTCCACATGACACGCGATGAATAACAGAGGTATCATTTATTTCGTATCGCAATGTCGCCCGATCTTGTCGCGGCAACTGTTGAAAAAAACGCAAATAAAAAGAGAATAAAAAATCTGGATATAAAAAAAGAAATAGTAATTCTCGCGGGGAGCAGTGTCTCGTAGCTCAAGCTTCTTCTATATCGTTAAACGAGGTAAAATACGAAAATGTCGCTTCCATTAATCCAGTATACATTAAAGGAATATTCCGAGTGTTACTATGCATATCTGTTATACTTGCGCTATTTCGAAATACATCCATTTGCTTGAATAAAAATGATGAAAGAATTTTGAAAAAAGTTTTGCATCAAAAGAATGATTTTAGAAAGATAATACTCATATAACACTTTTTAAAGTTGAGTTTTTCTTTTCTACAAGGTTAAATCTCTGGGATTTTACGGCCTCCCGGAATTTTCGAGTAACTCCAAAATTGCGACCGCCAACAAAGTGGATTAACGGCCGAGCGCCACGGAAGGGAATTTTTCCCATCGTACTCCGTTGGAATTTTTAGCACGTTCGGCGTTACAGGATGAAATCGGCCGAAAATTCGTGCATGATGTGCCGGATCTCTCGAAACACTCTCCCCGCAACGTATTCCCTTCTTCGCCCCTCGCAAATGAATGGTGGCGTGTGAGGGAATGGGCGAGGAACTGTGAGGGACGCTTTAATACCTGCATACGTAAAGTCGGACGAGACGGGCGCGGAAATTAATTCTCGCGGTTGGAAAATTGCCACACCCGTGCTGCGGCATTGTGAAGCGCCGCGGCCAATCGGCGAGGGAAGATTCGCCCGACGTAGGAAAACCGATTGTGGCGATAATTGTTCGTTCGTAATAATTTCCTCCTCGTCGTCGCAGCGCGACCACGCGCGGGTGGCGCTAATTTATGACGCGTATTTAACATCTTAATCACCGCGTCTCTCTGGCGCTACTTTACCACCGAGATCCGCTCGTTATCAGCTCCCGAAGTTGAGCGGCGGTGCACGGTGTGCCAGAATTGCTTCCGGCTGCAATTCTCGCGAGTTTGCAAATGCGCTGCAGTTATTCACGCTCGCATTTGTGCACTAAACAACTGAAATAGAAATTGCCACCAAAAAATTTCCGCCATAAGTGTTTTCTGCACGAAATATAATTCGCTTCTTCGGAAAGTAATAAAGTAATAATGTCACTTTCGGTGTTGCAGCACCTGTGTTAAAGCACGCTGTACTTTATTACACCCTTTTACTTAAGTAAGGAGTTAAAGTGTTGAGACTGACGTATCGGCGACTGATTGCATTCGTCAACCGCGTGTATTAGTCGCATTGCGGGCTCGGTCACACGCTTTGACGCATCGCATCGTTTGCGAGTGATATCCTATATCAAAGCATGTAAATGCGCGGTCTCGCTTGTATGTGCGTCCATACATATCAAACTCATTGTACACGGACAAACAATTTTTCGTTCTACCGCGCAGCAGACGTCGACAAACGGCAGCGAGCCCTCGTGTAGTGTACCAGCAAGGACGATGAAGAGAAGGGTAGAAGAGGGAGAATCGTGCGGCTGCGCCGCGATTTCTCCTCTCCGCTCCTCTCACCCTCTCTCTCTCTCTCTCTCTCTCTGCCTTCCTCCCCGTCAAATGATTTCCGCATTGTGCCGGCTGTAAGGACGGACAGACCAGCGGAATTTTAACGAGTTTTGTGCAACTTGATATAACGGGATCGGAAGAGGGGGTGACGCGGGAAGGCAGGTTGGTGCGCCATACCGTCGCTCAGATTCTTTCCATAAAACGCTTCTTACACGTTCTTCGCAGGAAGAGAGCGTACGCGAAAGCGTACAAA